CCCTCTCTTCCTCTTCTTCTCCCTCTCCCTCTCTTCCTCTCCCAACTTCCTCCCCTCTCTACGTACACACAAAAGCCTCTCCCGGCCGTGACCTTTGACCCCGCATCGAACGAGGTACCTCTCAGGCCGCGCCCTCGCTCGCCCTCGCCCGTGAGAGGCTTCGCAGCGTGTCCTCAGAGTGCCTGCTTGTCTCTCCTTTCCGCGGAGTGAGGGAGAGGGAAGTCTCGTTTGGATATTGGCTTTTAAACGCATTCGTATGCATGGTTGTATGTATATTATGTATGTATGTATGTATGTAGGTATGTATGTGAATGTATTATATATGTATGTATGTATGTACATGTATGTATGCATGTATGCATAAATGAATGTATATATGTATGCATTTACTTATGTAACGTACTGTGTGTGTATATGAATATGAATGTGTGTGTGTGTGTGTGTGTGTGTGTTGTGTGGTGTGTGTGTGTGTGTGTGTGTGTGTGTGTTGTGTGTGTGTGTGTGTGTGTGTGTGTGTGTGTGTGTGTGTGTGTGGTGTGTGTGTGTGTGTGTGTGTGTGGTGTGTGTGTGTGTGTGTGTGTGTATGTGTGTGTGTGTGTATATGAATATATACATACATAAATACATATCTATCTATCTATCTATCTATCTCTATCTCTCTCTCTCTCTCTCTCTCTCTCTCTCTCTTCTCTCTCTCTCTCTCTCTTCTCTCTCTCGTATATATATATATATATATATATATATTAATATTATATATATATATACACATATATATACACCACACATACATGGCACGACATACATACAGCACATATTATATATATGATATATATATATATATATATATACATATATTATATATATATATATGCATACATATATATATATATACATTAATATTATATATATATATATATTATATATATATATATATATATATATATATATAGAAACATATATATATCATATATATGTTGTATTAATATATATATATATATATGTTGTGTTGTATGTGTGTGTGGTGTGTGGGTGTGTGTGGTGTGTGTGTGTGTGTGTGTGTGTGTGGTGTGTGCCTGTGTGTGTGTGTTGTGATTATGTGTGTGTGTGTGTGTATTGCGTGCACGTGCGTGTGTGTGTATCTTAAGGGTTGTGTGTGTATGTGTGGGGTGTGTGGTGGTGTTGGTGTGGTGAGAATGTGTGTGCGCGCGGTGTGTGGGTGGTGTGGTGGGTGTGTGTGTAAATGCATGATCTGTGGGTTTGTGAGTAGTGGTAATAGTGTGGGTGGGTGTGTGTGTGTTGTTCTTATGTGTGGTATTGATGTCAACATATAAAAATTTCTTGTGTGTAGACTTGTGATACTTGATGTTTGATACTTATTTGCTTAGAAGTCTTGATTGCTTGTGTAACGCCAGCTGTCGATGATATGTCGATCGATCTTGTGCTGTGTGTGTGTGTTGTGTGTGGTGTGTGTGATGTGTATATACTCAAAAACCGACACCAGAGTAACGCGTTTTGTGCGTTTGCGTGCCGTTGCGTGCGGGCTGAATTTCGATTATCTGCGTTGCATAGGATTTCGAAGAGCTAAAACGATTGTGTGTGTGTGTGTGTGCTGTGCGTGTGTGTGTGTGTGTGTGTCTGTGTGCGCATACTTAAGTCGGATACTGAACATATCGATGTATGACGGTGTGTAATGAGTGTGGGATGAGAATTTTTCGATAATCTCTTGGAGCTGAATAGAAAATTTTCCATGTGTGTTTCAGGCAGAAAGTGTGGCGATATGCGCGGAATAGTATGTCTTATGTGTGATCGCAAATCGGGGCACTGTGTGTGTGTGTGCGGCGCGCACTGTGGATACACACTATAAATATGCAGGAGACAAGGAGAGGAGAAAAGACAGATAAAAGTAAGCATAAGACCAAAGACACGCAGACACAGTAGGAAAAGAAACAGCGTCAGCAAAGACAAAGAAAGAAAAAAATACGCGGGAGAAACAACAACGATAAAATCCCCGCCCCCTCCCCCCCCCCCCACGATCATATCTGGCTTGGATTGGCCGACCTTGGAATACCACTAGTGATCGTGGTGGTTGAGGGAAGGAGGGGGTGGGGGCAGGTATGAGCGTATGTAGGGGGCGTCTAGATGAGATTGTTGATGGAGTGGGGGGGACGGAAGGGGGAGTGGAGTAGGGGTGAAATAAGGGATACCAAGTGAGGGGGAGAGGAGGTAGTAGAGCGGAGGGTAGGGAAGCCTGAAAAGTGAGGAGGATTAGAAGATGAGGAGAAAGAGCAGTGAACGAGGAGGGAAGAAGAAAGAGGATAGGTAGTGGGGAGGAGTAAGGATGAGTGGAAGAAGAATGAGGGGAGGAGGGAGGATAACAGAGGAGGGAGGAGGGGGAGGAAACAGAGGGGTGATGGAGAGAAGGGAGGAAGGAAGAGAGGATATAGTTGAGGGGAGGAGGTAGGAAGTCTCTAACTACAAAGAAAGAAAAGAGAAGGATATAATTAATAATAAGCAAGAAATAGAAGTAGAGAGGAGATAGAAAGAAGAAAAAAGAGAGAGTGAGAAGAGAAGAAGACGAAGAAAGAAAGAGAATAAGTAAGGAAAAGAAGAGAGGAGCGGTGGAGGAGATGTGAAGGAAGGGAGAAAAAGAAGGGGTCAGTGAGAGCAAGGTGAGAAGAGGAGGAGGAGGAAGAGTAGGGATGGGGCTGAGGGGTTGCGTGTGTCTCGCCGTTATAGGAAAACCTACGAGCTTACTACGAGCGGGCTGTTTGAATTGTTTGGTGGCTCTCTCTTCCCCCTCTCTGCTTCCCTTATCAGCTGTTCTTTAACGCCGTCATCTCTTCTGTTCTCTCCTTCCTTTACCTCGTCCTTTCGCATCTTTCGTTCGTTCTTTCTTTGTTTTTTTTTGTTTTTCTTACTATCATTATTTATTTTCTTGTTCCTCTCTTTTTTATTTATCCTACTTTTGCTGTTTTTCTTTTTGTTCTTTAACCTTGTTTTTTGTGTCTGTCTTTTGGTCTCTCATTTTTCATCGTCTCCATTATTAGCCTTTTCTTTGGATTATGGTATACTGCATCTCTTCATATATTTTTCTTCTTCTTTACGCTCTCTTTCTTTCTCTCTTCTCTCCTCTCTCTCTCTCTCTCTCTCTCTCTCTCTCTCTCTCTCTCTCTCTTTTCTCTCTTCATCTTCTTTCCTCTCTCTCTCTCTCTCTCTCTCTGCTCTCTCTCTCTCTCCTCTCTCTCTCTCTTCTCTCTCTTGTCTCTTTCTCTCTCTCTCTCTCTCTCTCTTCTCTCTCTCTCTCTCTCTCTCTCTTCTCTCTCATCTCCTCTTTCTCTCTCTCTCTCCTCTCTCTCTCTCTCTCTCCTCTCTCTCTCTCTCTCTCTCTCATCTCTCTCTCATTCTCTCTCGCCCTCTCTCTCTCTCTCTCTCTCTCCCTTCCTCCTCTCTCTCGTCTCTCTCTCTCTCTCTCTTCTCTCTCTCCTCTCTCTCTCTCTCTCTCTCTCTCCCCTCTCTCTCTCTCGTCTCTCTCCTCTCTCTCTCTCTCTCTCTCTCTCTCTCTCTCTCTCCTCTCTCTCCCTCTCTCCTCCCTCCTCTCCTCCCTCCCTCCCTCTCCTCCCTCTCTCTCTCTCTCTCTCACTCTCTCCTCTTCCCTCCTCTCTCTCTACTCTCTCTTCTCTCCCTCCCTCCCTCTTTTTACAAACATTTTTTGTTCTTTAAAGTTGACCCTGACTCACAGATCTGGAAGCGTGTGAATAAATAAACACATAAATATAGAAATACGTCAGCAAGTGAAGAAATCAACGATAACGTAATTAAATGAATGCGAAGCTGAATGAATAAATAATTGAATAACAAATGTAATCAAGCAAGCAAACAAGAGAACAAATGAGCAACAGATAGACAAATGCGATGACAACCAAACAAATTATTCAATTAGCGAGTTAGATATGTAAAAAATAATAATAAATAAACAAATGAACTTCCAAGCNCTCCGTTTCCTCCCTCTCCGATCTCCCTCTCCCTCCCTCTGCCGTCTCCCTCTCCCTCTCTCTCCGTCTTCCCTCTCCCTCTCTCTCCGTCTCCCTCTCCCTCTCTAGCTCCGTCGCCCTCTCCCTCTCTCCGTCTCCGCTCTCCCTCTCTCTCCGTCTCCCCTCTCCCGTCTCTCCGTCTCCCTCTCCCTCTCTCAGTCTCCTCTCTCTCTCTCTCCGTCTCCGTTTCCCTCTCTCTCCGTTTCCCTCTCCCTTTCTCTCAGTCGCCCTCTCCCTTTCTCCGTCTCCCTATCCCTCTCTCTCCGTCTCCCTCTCCCTCTCTCTCCGTCTCCCTCTCCCTCTCTCCGTCTCCCTCTCCGCTCTCTCCAGTCTCCTCTCCTCTCTCTCCGTCTCCGTCTCCCTCTCTCATCTCGCGTTTCCCTCACTCTCTCCCGTCTCCCTCTCCTCTCTCTCCGTCTCCTTCTCCCTCTCTCCGTCTCCTTCCCTCTCTCTCTCTGTCACCGTCTCCCTCTCTCTCCGTCTCCTCTCCCTCCGTCTCCGTCTATCTCTCCCTCCATCTCCGTCTCCTCTCCCCTCTCCGTCTCCTCCGTCTCCGTCTCCCTCTCTCTCCGTCTCCTTCTTCCCTCTCCGTCTCCCTCCCTCTCTCTCTGTCACCGTCTCCCTCTCTCTCCGTCTCCCTCTCCCTCCGTCTCCGTCTATCTCTCTCTCTGTCTCCGTCTCCCTCTCTCTCTCTCTCCCTCTCCCTCTCCCTCTCTCTCCCTCTCTCTCCCTCTACCTCTTCTCTCTTCTCTCTCTCTCCCTCTCCTTCTCTTCTCCCTCTCTTCTCTTCTCTCTCTCCTTCTCTCTCTCTCTCCCCTCTCTCTCTCTCTCTATCCCTCTTCCTCTCTCTCTCTCTCTCTCTTTCTCCTCTCACTCTCTCTCCCTCTCTCTTTCTCCTCTCCTTCTCTCTCCTCTCCCTCTTACTCCATTCCCTCTTTCTCCCTCTCCTCTCCCTTCCTTCTCCCTCTCCCTCTCCTCTCCCTCTCCCTCTCTCCATCCCCTCTCTCTCCCTCTCCTCTCTCCCTCTCTCTCCGTCTCCCTCTCCCTCTCTCCGTCTCCCTCTCCTCTCTCTCCGTCTCCCTCTCCCTCTCTCTCCGTCTCCCTCTCCCTCTCTCTCCGTCTCCCTCTCCCTCTCTCTCCGTCTCCCTCTCCCTCTCTCCCGTCTCCCTCTCTCTCTCTCTCTGTCTCCCTCTCCCTCTCCCTATCTCTCCGTCTCCCTCTCCCTCTCCTCCTCTCCGTCTCCCTCTCCGTCTCCCTCTCCGTCTCCCTCTCCGTCTCCCTCTCCCTCTCTCTCCGTCTCCGTCTGCCTCTCCCTCTCCCTCTCTCTCCCATCTCCCTCTCCCTCTCTCTCCGTCTCCCTCTCCCTCTCTCTCAGTCTCCCTCTCCCTCTCTCTCCGTCTCCCTCTCCCTCTCTCCGTCTCCCTCTCCCTCTCTCTCCGTCTCCCTCTCCCTCTCTCTCCGTCTCCCTCTCCCTCTCTCTCCGTCTCCCTCTCCCTTTCTCTCAGTCTCCCTCTCCCTCTCTCTCCGTCTCCGTCTCCCTCTCTCTCCGTTCCCTCTCCTCTCTTTCCGTCTCCCTCCCTCCCTCTCCCTCCCTCTCCGTCTCCCTCGTCTCTCCCTCTCCCTCTCCCTCTCTCTCCCTCTCCGTCTCCCTCTCCCTCTCTCTCCCTCTCCGTCTCCCTCTCCCTCTCCCTCCCTCTCCGTCTCCGTCTCCCTCTCCTCCCTCTCCGTCTCCCTCTCCCTCCCTCTCCGTTCCCTCTCCCTCCCTCTCCGACTCCCTCTCCTCTCTCTCCGTCTCCCTCTCCTCTCTCTCCGTCTCCTCTCTCCCTCTCCGTCTCTCTCTCCCTCTCTCTCTGTCACCGTCTCCCTCTCTCTCCGTCTCCCTCTCCCTCCGTCTCCGTCTATCTCTCCCTCCGTCTCCGTCTCCCTCTCCCTCCGTCTCCGTCTCCCTCCGTCTCCGTCTCCCTCCGTCTCCGTCTCCCTCTCTCTCCGTCTCCGTCTCCCTCTCTCTCCGTTTCCCTCTCCCCCTCTCTCCGTCTCCATCGCCCTCTCTCTCCGTCTCCCTCTCTCTCCGTCTCCGGCTCCCTCTCTCTCCGTCTCTGTCTCCCTCTCTCTCCGTCTCCCTCTCTCTCCGTCTCCGTCTCCCTCTCTCTCCGTCTCCGTCTCCCTCTCTCTCTGTCTCCGTCTCCCTCTCTCTCCCTCTCCCTCTCTCTCCCTCTCCCTCTCCCTCTCTCTCCCTCTCCTCTCTCCCTCTCTCTCCTCTACCTCTCTCTCTCTCTCTCTCCCTCTCCTTCTCTCTCTCTCTCTTTCTTCCTCTCCTTCTCTCTCTCTCTCCCTCTTCCTCTTCCTTCTCTCTCTCTCTCTTTCTCCTCTCACTCTCTCCTCTCTCTCTCTCTCCCTCTCTCTCTTTCTCCCTCTCCTTCTCTCTCCCTCTCCCTCTCTCTCTTTCTCCCTCTCCTTCTCTTCCTCTCCTTCTCTCTCCATCTCCCTCTTTCTCCATCTCCCTCTTTCTCCCTCTCCCTTTCCCTCTCCCTCTCCCTCTCCCTCTCCCTCTCCCTCTCCCTCTCCCTCTCCCTCTCCCTCTCCCTCTCCCTCTCCCTCTCCCTCTCCCTTTCCCTTCCCTTTCCCTCTCCCTCTCCCTCTCCCTCTCCCTCTCTCTCCCTCTCTTTCTGCCAATAGACATGATGCAGTCCTGAGTTTCTGCTCAGTGTGCTTTGGTAGTCATAAAATCTAGCCATTGTGGTGCTTAGGGTAGTTTTTTGAGCTGGCATTTTTTCCAGCAAAATATACAGTTCGTCGAGTTACCTGAACCAAAGTTTTTTTTTTATGGCCTTCCTTCCTTCTCACATATTTCTATCTCTTCCTTTCTCTAATAACTCCTCAACTTTTTCCTTCACTTCAAGCCTACTTTATTCCTTCATATTCTCCCTTCCTTTCCAGACTCTTTTTCTGCCTCTCTCTCTCATTTCACTTACTCCCTTCCTCTACCACCCAGAGGAGGGGAACCAGGGTTCTGAAATGGGGAGCTACCTCCCTTCCTTCCCTTCTGACTTCCTTTTCCTCCACTTTCATTCTTTCCTACCTTACCTCCCTTCTTTACTTTCCTTCCTCCCCTTTTATCCTCCGTTTCCTTCATTCTTTCCTATCCTTTTTCTCTTTCCTTCCTTCTTTCCTTTCCCTTTTTCCCTTTCTCTTTTCCTTGATTCTTTCCTTTCTCTTTTCTCCTTTTTGCTTTGCTTTGCTTTGCTTTGCTTTGCTTTGCTTTGCTTTGCTTTGTTTTGCTTTACTTTACTTTTTATTTCTTTTTTTTTATTCTGTTTCATTCCATTCCATTCCATTCCACTCAGTTCTGTTCACTTCACTTCCCCCTCACAACTACCTTCCCTTTAACACTTACCTTGCCTTGGCCTGTGGAGCGAGCCCTGGAATGCAGTTCTCCCGTTCCGCACACGAGCCTTTGCAGCAGCAACAT